TGCAGTTTAACATGAATACCCCACTCAGACACAGTATACTGACTCCGAGCCGACCAGTCCTTGTTTTAGCCCCTTAATGCTGATCTCCAGACAGGGTAACAACAAGTACCATCTTTTACCATCACAGTGTATCAGATTGATGTGGGAGGAAAGCCTGAAGTGATGAAGGTCAACATGTTTACCATCTTGGTGAAACCCACAAGCACAGTTACGGTGCTGACAACACATTGACAAACCTAGACATGCTAGAATAATCAGAGTGAGTCTGACACTCAAATCCACAATAACAGCCGTCCGGCTTGCCTTAAGGAACGTAACACTGCACAGCAAATCCCGCCACATTAGACAACTAGGCCACCCATGCCGCCAAATTTTACAGCATCAAATGTCATAATGGAAAAGCTAATCCACATAACCTTGAGTGTTGAAAGATACTTTACCTGCTGTAAATTTTGTTCTTTCTGAGACCATGAATTTAGCGAATGATTTCCGGTGACAATGCGAATCTGAAAACAAAAACATATTCAAACATTAAAATTTCCTATTTACCATGTTTACAATGATTTTGACCATACATGCCTAATACATGTAATAGTAATACTTCAATCAGATTCTGTACATATGTAACATGTGTAATTATGTACGCTTTATATACACATGATACAGTTTGTTGAAAACAAATGAATTGACCACTACTGACAGGTGATACAGTGAGGTTTACCTTCAAAACATGACAAACATAAACCTGACGATGCCAGTTAATAAACTGAATATGTAATTAACACCAATTAACATTTATGATGCTAATCATGTACCATGAACATGCCAAAGGCATCAGCATGCTACTCTGAATTAAATATTTCCTGGCAGTTGCAAATCTACGAGTAAGCATAGGTACGCTAATAATAATGATAATAAAAATAATAATAATAATAATAGTAATAATTCACAGGTTTGTATACACTATGCAGCCCTGTCACCTGTGATTATCAGCTGATGATGACTTCAGGTTGATAAACAGTATAGCTCTTACATGTCTATTTTAACATGTTTAAGTAACCTAATGAGTGAGTGAGTGAGTTGGGTTTAACGCTGCTTTTAACATTATTCCAGTTATATCACTGCGTGTCAGCTTAATGTGGGAGGAAAGCCCAAAGTGATCCAGGTCTAGGACGTTTACCACTTCGATGAAACCCATGAGCACGGGTATGGTGCTGACAAACCTAGAAACATAATCGGGGCAAACGGGGATTCGAACCCACAATGAAAAGTTTCTGGCGTGCCCAAGGGATGCAAGTCTGCACAGTGAATCGCGGCGCCTTAGACAACTGGGTCATTCGTGCCCCAAAGTAAGCTAATGAAATGAGGCCATTAATAATTAATGACTTCCCTCTCGCTTGAACCAGGTCTTTGCTTAGTAAATGTGTTAAAAGTAGTGACAATCATCAGCAATATGTATTCACAGGTGAGGTGATGGAGGAACGAAGTGTATACAAATCCGGGAAGAATGGAAATATGACCCGGGAAGTATTGAACATGTTGAAATATGATCCATGAAAGGACATGTAAGATAAGAAGAGATACCTCAGTCAGCAATGTTCCATCTACATAAAATAGAGACACCTTTTAATGGAATCCTGACTTAGCAAACCAGTGACTGATAGCATGAGCAATGATCAACGACATATGGGTGCAGTGCCACACAATCTGCCAAGCCTGCATTATCATCTGGAAATATAAAGGGTTTCTGACAAGACCCTCCACACGGATTATTATCACTCACGAGTGATCCTGATGCCATTTGGCAACACTCGTCCCATTCCGTAATCTACATGATGCCGAGTGGTGAGGAATGAGGCGATGTGGCTCAAAGGGTCAGACATTGAATTCATGTGTATGCATGAATGACAGTCTTAATAATTCATTTGGCGATTTTGTGACCGAACAGTGTGGGAGGGAACACTGTAAGGATCATGTGGATCATAGTAGTGAGTGAGTTTGGTTTAACACCGCTTTTAACAGTATTCCAGTTATATCACGGCGTGTCAGCTTCATGTGGGAGGAAAGCCCAAAGTGATGCAGGTCTCAGATCTTTACCACTTCGGTGAAACCCACGAGCACGGGTATGGTGCTGACAAACCTAGAAACATAATTGGGGCGAACCGGGATTCTAACCCACAATCATAGGTTTCTGGCCTACCAAAGGGACGCAACTCTGCACAGAGAATCACAGCGCCTTAGAAGACTGGGCCACCCGTGGCCCCCATCATAGTAAGGAACTTGGAGTAGGAAGGTATAGGCATGGCTTCTGACACCTCGAGGGTCGGCTTTTGAATCATTACTGACAGAAGTGTAGGCCTATAGCCCAGTGAGTAAAAGTGGCTCATGTGGAAATTCCATGACAGTTTCTTGTAGCCAAAACATATGACATGGAACTACTTCATCCTGGTCACTCAGCGTTTTTAGGAGAAAACTAAATCCAACTGAGAAAAAGTGAAAATAAACAGGAAAAACCTGACAATAGCATTTATTTGCACGCTTTGTGTGTTCAGCTCCCATGCTTGAAAATGTATCAGATGGGGGTAAAGCCCCTGTAGACCCCCAAACACGGCTTGTAAAGCCTTGTATTTATCCTTGTCATTACAAATGTAATTGATTTATTGCAAAAGAAGTCCCACAGTATATATATGTATGGTTTGGACTGGCAATGTTAACATGTGTGCAATGTCAATAAATAAATACCTAATTAACTGCATTCCTGTCCATAGTTATGAAAACCGAATAATTATTTTTAGAATATTAGTTCCCTTTTACCATGTTTACAATCCATTAACCACATGAGTTAACATGGTTAAGTTAAAACTGAAACAAATATATATACATGATATATTGAAAATACAAATGTTTTCATAAACTGGTGCCTGCTATAAAATGTGTTGCCGCATATATATTTATTGAACAAATATTGAAAACTCTCAACATTGATGGACTTATTCAATGGCATAGCATGTAGAAATAGATCATTGAGAGCAGCTTTATGCACACTCAATGACCCCTGGTGATATTGTCAAAGACTATCTGTACCTGTAGTGAAATTGTTCCTTTGTGCTAATTTTCTAAAGGGCGGGGGAATTATAAAAAAAAGAAGTTTTCACAAAGAATTATTTTCCACAATACACTTACAATATTTGTTGGAACTTATTCCATGCAGACTGATGGGTGCAGGCTAAAACGGCACCTCAGCAAAACGTCACCGATTTCTCTGGCGAAAACGGCACCGCATTTGGCGAAAACGGCTACTATGTGTCGGGCGAAAACGGAACCTCTATGTTTAATAACGATAACAACGATTTTTGTAGTAATATATAGGGTTTTGCTGAGGTGCCGTTTTAGCTCCATAATATATAGGGTTTATTTACATGGTATTTGATGTATTGAGTACATCTGAAGCCGTAATGTGAATTTCCGATAGGTTTGGTACTCTCATTTCTTCAGCATCTTCTGACTGGAAACTGACATGAAAGTTACCGATCACCTCTTCAATGACGGGAGCTACGCATTTCACACAGCGGAAAGGGAAGTCAGTATGGCAAATTTCTCTATAACGGGCCATAGAAAGTCCGGTTCCACTGGTCACAGTTATCACATGAGACAGCATGTTGATTTTTTTTCTGTCATTCTTCTCGCATGCAACACATCGAAAGGCCATTGTGAATAATTGGCATACCATGTTAGGCCTCTTAAATACAGTTTCAGCTTAAATTGAGTAAAGGTACTTAAAACTTCAAAGCGTATAGTGAATAAAAGTCGGTGAGTAAATTGGAGTAGGGGGCTAATTTCTTATTTGTTTTGTTTTTTACAAAGCATGTTATGTTTTCACCATAAGTTGAGTTGCGTATAAGCTAAGTTGGATTATAGTTGGAGCAGAGGCTAATTTCTAATGTAAACTTGTTTTAACATCTCACAATTATTGGCCTTTGCAAGTTACAATGTAAGTTTAATATCATTCATTTGACCAAGGTAAAAAAAAAAATATGGTGCCGTTTTCGCCCGGTGCCGTTTTGCTGAGGTGCCGTTTTCGCTATAACCCCAGACTGATCATTGTTGACAATTATCAGATAGTCCGGGTACATACCAACTTTCTCACTGGGTAGATGTCAAATACAATTCGCATGTATTCCATCATGCATTCCACGCTGCAGGTCCATAACGTCTTTGTGATCGGAGCTGCTGGGATTATACCTGGTGTTTTGGACCTTGTTATCACATCATATTCAATTGGCTGTTTACTAGATTTACTGAAATATGGATGTCTATCTAGAACAAAAAGGGTTTTGTGTGACGATTTCAGAGAGTTCGCAAACACTTGATCCGACATGCAATCTGACATAGCCATGTTGACGTTTATGTTAAGACGTCTCGCTTAGATCTTTGAAGATGTTTCACTGAACAGGTAATCAGCTGGTGCTTGTCTTGAGACTTGACTTCGTCCTGTATTTGCTTCCCTTTGGTCTTCAAGTTCAACCCGATGCACAGCAGCTGTAAAGCCGCATAACCGATGACAATAGCGTATCCGTATCCGGAAGTGTTAATTCTTTATTTTAAGCACGTGCAATCCTTTTCTCCGAATTTTTTTATTCATGTAAACAACTCGTGCTCTCCCGCCTGATTAGGATAACATGTCAAATGGGCGCTGCCATTTTGAAAAGACCCGGATGAAAACAAATCTTCATTTTTATCAATATTGTTCATTATGTGTTATATTTCGGAATATTTCTCTTCATTGCAAGTGTAATAGCTTATTATAATGGCCAAAGCAACCGTATGATTTATTTTACAAAGTACTGGATTTGACTTATGATCTCAGGCCAAAAACTGATAGACTGGGCTCCTGTCTATCCGTTTTCGTTTAATCAAACACACTAAGTTTGCTGCGCGAACCTTCTCTGGCGCCAGTTTAGTAGCTGACTGCGCAATTGCAAGTTCCGCATAGCTATTTAAGGACCAGTTTGCGTTGCCATAACAAATTCATTTGTGACAAAATGGCAGCCGAGGAAGGACCTAGACAACTGGACGCTCATGAATACCTGGATAAACATAGAGTTATTGACCTTTTTAACAATTTAACATCCCAACTGATATACAGCAGACCTGGTAATTATAATTACGATCCTTACTTGAAACACCTTCACTGTTGGTATTCTATACTTTTGTGATGTAAACATTGATATTGATGGTGACCAGTCAGCAGGTAAGAGGAACCTTCACAAGCATCTTTAGGAGGTGGCTCACTTTAGCTATATAGATCTCAAAATAAACAGAAAAAATTACAATGCTTGCATTTGTATCGTACTCCTAACCAAAATGACTACATATTTAGTAAAATGCATTACCATTAAAGTCTAGTGGACATTAGAATAATAACAGGGAAAACAAATTCAAAATGGTGGATTATTAAGGTAAATTTCATTCTTTCCATTCCATAATATATATATATATATATATAATTGGCAAAATATAAAATAAAATAATAAATATACATCTTCAGACATCATCAATTTCTGACTGGCATGATTATCACGATTCATGAGGGTTAGAACCTATGTCTTGTTTTTAAGATAAAGTTTTTTACTCAAGGAAAATTGTATCAGTTGCCAGGTGGTTAATATTTTCACTGTTTTGAGTTTTTTTAATCAAATAGCATGTGATTGGGTATTATGCACTGAGTAGTCAGGAAATATATTACACATTTTTATTCTTCTTATTGCAGATGATCCGAAAAAATTCCTCATCGGTACACTGGAGAAGCTTCACAAGTGTCGGAGCACAAAGTTAGACATCCCAAGTCTGTTTGACGACTCCAACATTCACTCTGTGTTTGGAATGCTAGATCCCACAAACAGGGGCTACATTACCCTACAGCAATACTATGAAGGTAGGTTACTATGGTTACTGTGCTGAATGATCATAGTTAGATATACAAGTGGATGTACTGTTCTGGTGATAACCATTGTCAGTACACCACAGGCTTGTATACACAACATTCATTTATTATTTAAGGCTGATATGTGGAACGATAGTGACACATGTCAACTTTTAGTCAGGTAGAGAAATTTGACTGTGTAACTCAGAGTCCTACTCCATGCATGAACTTAACACTAATCCATCTTCCCAAGTCAAGGGAGTTAACAGACTATAAGTCCAGATTCAACCCTTGCTGAACTAGGCTGGAATTTCGTGGCTCGATCGTTGCGCTACTGATGGCTATTACATACCCCAGAAGGTCTACCACTAAACCACAGAGGGGGTCTTGATTAAAGACATGAAGAGATTTGGAAAAAATCTGTCGACAGTACACATGCTTCTACCCAAATCTGCACAACAGTTTATGAACCGGATATTGATTTCGTTACACGATTTTGATTGGACTATGCATAGACTCGGTAGTCCAGCCAAAATACAACTCCAAAATTCCAGCCTAGTTTGACAATGGTGGAAACTGGACTTTTATAGTCTGTTAACTCCCTTGCCTCGGAAAGGTGATACTAATCCCACCATTGCCTGATATTGAAGTTATGTGTGGAGTAGATGGCTGCCAGCCTATGGGACATGTTGCACACGAATTACTGGTTACCTCTGGCTTGAAGCAGGCCGTGACTTGATTTGTTGGTTAAAAATAAGGACTTTACTGCAAAGTTGTTGTATATGTATTGATGGGTGATAGAGGAAGACAGTGTATTTCAAACCATGAAGTATTGATCTCTTTTGAATATTTTAAGCTCATGGTTTGATTATGGCAACAAGTAAGAAACTAAACTAGTGTAGTTTTTATTAAGGTTATTGTCTTTGAAAGTATAAATGGGGGAAAGACCCCATTTGTCAGACAAATGTGTGTAGCCCATTATTTGTTACCTTATTTGGCATAAATTTGTTAACATTAGTCCATCTAACTGAAAAAATACATGCTGGTTTTTTTTCAGACCATTTTGTTAAATATTTTTACAGTAAGATGTACATGTATTATCTTCAAATATAGTTGGTTTCTTTACTTTTTTTTAAAGAGTCTACCTTTACCAGAGACTATATACATCATGATACATGTATACAATGAATATTATTATTATTTAACAGGAGAACGGGTCATTTGTTAGATTAAGATCACTTTGTGCAAGTGAGCCCTGAACCACTGCAGTTGAAAATATTTTGTATTTTAGATAAAGAATGCACAAATTAAATTTTCTGTGCATATGTGACTTCATATTATTGAAAGATATCCCAAATCTTTTTCAGCTCTGACAACTCTTGGTGTGAAAAAGTATGACGATCAGCCAGCTGGTGCTGATATAGACAGGATCACTTTTGATGTGTTTGTCCACGAAGCGTAAGTGCTTGTAACATATCATTCTTGTTGAAATGTTTTGTTTTCATCCAAACCAAGATGCACTGTTTAGTGTTTAAAAGTCAGTTGATATTCAGAATATAGTTTGATGTCATCAGAGATTGAGAGTCTTTTTGCAGATTTAAAAATAGGATTATACAACCAACACAAATCAAAGATAGTTTGAGGTAGATTTAGTCTCCATAATCAAAAAAAAAGAATCTCTCAAAAATGAGGAGGAAGGTATGACTTTATTTAAATACACATTACAGTATTTTATTGAAAAAAGTCACTGAACTTGACCCTTTAATACAATGTCACTTGTTAATCATTAAATTTTGTAAAAACATATTTTTTCATTAGCAATAAAGATGACTGACAGTGACACGCATGATGTAAAGTGACATGCCAATGCCCCAGAAATGTTTCCTTTTTAGCCAAAGTTATCATGTATGCAATCAATCCAGTAGATTTCCAGGAAGAGCAGATTCAGAGTAAAATCTGTAAACTTGATAAACTGAAACTATCTGCCTGCCTGACACTTTGAAAAAATGTGATGTACCTTCGCTTACATATATCAAAACACTATGTTCTTTGGAACTTGCTTTCTACATTCACAACCACCATGACCGACAACACTGAAGTCAGCGGACAAAAATCACTGGTTTTGCCACAATTTGTAAAAAAATTCAATTTGTTGTATCAGAGGAATTTGTTGCAAAGATATTGTACTGATTCCACCGAAATGGTAATGGGTGGCATCTCTGTATGAATAGTAGTTGGATGGGAGACCAAGTTTTCAGCTTGCTGATGATGTCAGAGGTAGAAAGCAGCATCTTCCCACTAGCCTGGACCAGTTTTGTTCATGTTAAATGTATCCCTAGGGCTAGCAGAATTTCAAACATCTTTGGGGATATTCCTCTATGTTATCAGGGGCACGGGTGGCCCAGTCGTCTAAGGTGCCGTGATTCGCTGTGCAGAGTTGCGTCCCTTGGGCATGCCAGAAACCTATGATTGTCGGTTCGAATCCCGGTTCGCCCCAATTATGTTTCTAGGTTTGTCAGCACCATACCCGTGCTCGTGGGTTTCACCGAAGTGGTAAATGTCTGAGACCTGCTTCACTTCGGGCTTTCCCCCTACATTAAGCTGACACGCCGCGATATGACTGGAATACTGTTAAAAGCGTTGTTAAACCCAACTCACTCACTAATTCATAATGTATAAGGAGTCTCGGGTTCTTAAAATATGTGTTTGCCTGTTTCAGGAAGAATGGGTTGACTGAAGCATCATCAACATTCAGCACCTAGGATACATGCATGCCTTTATGAATACCTGCCATTCATTTCTGTGTACATATTTGTGTTTTTCAAGAAGAAATATATTCTTCTCAGTGTAAAAAAATAAACCTTTCAAACTGACACATGAAATCTGTTCTTTATCTTGTCTCAAGATCAATTGATGTTGCAGATGATCTTTCTGAAATCTCTTGGTTTACATTGCTTTCCAACAACGTGGAGTGACACTGTCACATGTCATTGCTTTCCAACAGCTCGGAGTGACACTGTCACATGTCATTACTGCCCAAAAGAATGGAGTGACACTGTTTTCTGCCCATGGGCATTTGGTGACGTCACATGTCATTGCTCTCCAACAGCGTGGAGTGACACTGTCACATGTCATTACTGCCCAAAAGAATGGAGTGACACTGTTTTCTGCCCATGGGCATTTGGTGATGTCACATGTCATTGCTCTCCAACAGCGTGGGGTGACACGGTCACATGTCCTAACAGTCAAGAACAGACAAGAAAAAACATTGATATCATCTGTATTTTATCACATAAAATTATGCACAGTGATCTGGAGGTCAGCTGAACAAACAACAAAATCCTAACAACATAATATCTGTAACAGTATGTAATATACCCAATGACAGGAGCGTCCCGAGTATGTATAAGAGGGTTCTACATTCATGACTCTCTCGCCCAATGCAGTATGAAAACACATGTGATGTAATTTCATTGTAACAATATTTCCAAGGAGATATCGCTTGATCTTACCCAAGCGCTATCTCCTGTGGAAGCCAGTTTGGGATGATAATCTATATACACACAAACAACGATTCATCCATTCGATGCAGCCAATGCACACATCACAACCTCGTGTTGATGCTGTTCAAATCTTATGCATTTTTGAAAAATAATTTTTCTCAATCACTTAAGCTTCTTTGTTACAGAGGTAGATTTATCACATGACTCTTGGCAATTTTCCACATGATGTCTGCATCAACAAACTAAAGGTGTTATTTAAATTCTACAGTAAAATCAAGCCTAAAAAGTACAGATTTCCTATCAAATAAAATATCTCATAATGTATGAAAATACTTCATTTATATTTTATACCAGTTGACTTGAGGAATTTAATAAGACTTTGAGCCATATGAATACAAACATGTTTGGGAAAAATTGAAGATGGTCTTTCAGATAAGTCAGCCTAAACTTTGTAATGGTAAAAAAACAAAGTTAAATTTGAAGGAGAGTACTTGAAACTATTCCTATTATTAGTTTTATTATAACCTTAATTTGAGAATTCAGGAGCAATTAAATAAATGACCATAGACATCACACTTAATCTGGCCTTAATATATCCAAAGTATTTCACCAACACCGGGAGTGATTTCTTTGTGTAATAATGAAACATAACAATTATGGCTAATTCAGTTCCTTGTAAAACCGGAAAAGCCAGAACAGAACAACAAGTTGAAAAAGTATGAATTATGCAAATGATTTTATAACACGGGACATCTGATAAAATATAGGACACTCCAAAACAGACAGACAGAAGAGTCTCAGACAAAGTGGATACTAATTACCGTATTCGACGTAATAAGCACCCAGAACACTCTCAAAATTAGAAATAGGGGGCTCCTTTTAGAATATTAGTTTGGTGAAAAAGACAGAGTTGAAAGATCGTAAATTTCGTGGTTTATGCTGACAGCCTGAAATGTTTATACACAACAGTCACAGATATATTTTTCCTGGGTTTAATTGCCCATAAATGGGTGCATATAACACACAAGTGCGTATTATACATGAATAAATAAGTCTTGTGTACATTGATCAATCGGAAGGGGTGCTAATTGAGATTGTTCACAAGGCAATATATCAGCAAATATCGCCGTGGGCGCTTATTGGAGCGAGGCGCTCATTACATCGAATACAGTAAATGATAGCTGCATTTCCTTCCATTCACGTCAACATCTAACAAAAACAACTGCCAATAACATACATCATCATCATTATTTATATTATGTACAACGATATTTCGTTCTGAAAATATACAGCTGTTTTCATATGTCACTTCATGACAATAGCTGTTATATAACTTAAGGTTAAAAATATTACATTTTTAATTCTTTATCATATGTACATCATCAAAAAACAATTAAAATCTAATTTAATTAAAGATATTAAAAAGGCTTATTCTTTGAAAATAAATTGAGAGGGTGCCAATTCCAAAGAAGGTCTATCTGAGAAGACTTTGTGTTTCAGCTTCACCAATAGTCGCATTTTGAATGAGTGCACGCAATGACCTGCTATCCTGCACATGGATGAAAGTGAAGGCACTGTTTCTGTCCTATTCTTTCTGTGAAATAATCAAACTGTGGCTTGATTTTCAATCAATCTCTGTAAGAACTTAGTTTTCTTTGTTGTTTAATTACACACTCAGCAATATTCCAGCTAAATGAAAGTAGTTTGTATATACATGTGCCCGGGTCCGGATCAGACAATCCAGTGATTGACATCATGAGCATCGATCCACATAATTTCTATACGATGGCATGCATCAACCAAGTCCCCAAGACTGGCCAACCGATCCATTAGTCGCCTCTTAGAACAGACATTGCCAAGTATATATATATACTGTTAGCCGTCACGATACTTTCAAAACAAAATAAAAATCAAACTCATCTTTGCACAAGGTAAAGATTGTTTGATAGATTATTTTCATAATAAAACCTCATTAAAACATTACTTCGTTAAGTACATTGTTTTCAGTCCCTGCAGAAAAGGCTCACATACAAATTCCATGTTACAATTGTTTTTGTTAAGTGACAGTGCCCAAGCACTGTAGCTCACCTGGTACATTTACACTTTCAGTTGGAGATATTCATCTACATTGACAGTTGACTAACTTGATATTGTTGTAGAGGATCAGAAGATCCTTGTAGGATAAGGGTGACAGCTCTGGGTCACAGTGAATGTGGCGCTCTCCTCATTGTCATCATCATTGAACCAAACAACAAAAGTCTTATTGAATCTATTCGAATGTAAGAGCTAACTGTGCAACAACAAAACAACAGCGTCATCACTTGTGGGAATGCACATACTAATTTTCATATTTAGCAGTCCAGGCCTTTTATGGAGATGTCCACTGTCCATACATGTAGACATCGACGGACTATTAACAAGCAGGCAGAATCTCACTTGACCTTTGGTCCAGGTGAGCTACAAATGGAATGTCGTCTGTAAGATGTGAAACAATGAACAGATGATACACCATACATGAACCCGAATTAAAGATAAATTCCTGTAAAAGCATGACACCATCACATTCGATTTCTTACGAATAGTTACAGTTCTTTTTTAATCAAGCACCACTCCTATGTTAATCTGACATTAACAATTCCAAACTTTGTAATTCATGATAAATAACATGCACATTAAAAACGGAATATATACCACAACAGTTTTTTAAAAACATAACAATTTCTATAACAAATAAATTCTAGGTAACAGACAGAGTTAAACTCGGAAACAGAACCTGCAAGTTCAATGAGTGGTTAGACACTCGTAAGTTTATCCAACCGGAGATTGGAGATCACTGTCCCCAATTTAGCCAACCAGAATAACTCCAATACTCTAACAAACACACAAACGACAGTTGTAGCACTGACATTGCAGTGTTGAACAGGTCACAGGTAACGAACACAGCTTGACAAGGAGAATATTGCATGTTTATTGTCAGTGGACAATTCTATAACAATCTTTAGCAACCTAACTCAAACAGCCCTGCGTTGATAATTTGTTTTCATTGATTACCGGTACTTCCTGACGCTGTTGTTACCTTACTATCAAAGTGATATTAGATGGGCTGTAGCATAGGAACACGGGCATGTGCACAGCTGGGGACAAAGTTTATTAGAAAACTTCCGACAATATCTAGCAGTAGTGCCAAGATATCTCTATACATCATCTGTCAGGTCAAGAACTAACATTTCTCCGTGAACAGGACCCTGCTCAAACAGCTTGATAATCACAGCCATGGTTCAAACAAGGTTGTATTAAAATTATCACAAATTATCACAAAAGCCAACAATTTTAAGATTAATGAAAATCAGGTGGGGAAACATATTTTCGAGAATCTTCTCTTGTTTCACAGAGCTTTTGCTTATCACAAACTCCATCCCATGAACTGCAGGGACACAACAAAATAACACACTAATGTACACCTAGACCAGCAACCCTTTCACAGCTAGACTTAACCTCGGGACTTTGTCGACACACGACCTCAACAAGTATTTGAGTCATGAGGATGAACAGTCAGCCATTTCTAAGAAAAAAAAATCAATTTCAAGAGCAAGCAGTATCATCGGATATTGAGAGAACAATTTAGCTTAATGCGAGGACACATCCTCACAACCAAGTTCCTTGATGTTTCAACATTTACCTTGACCTTTTAGCCCTGTCACATGACCACCTATTCACCTTTGATGATACAACATTTATACCATCGTGATAACATAGTGATTGAGTTTGTGAGTGAGTATGGTTTTACGCTGCTTTTTAGCAATTTTCCAGCAATATCACAGCGGCGGACACCAGAAATGGGCTTTACAGATTGTACCCATGTTAGGAATTGAACCTGGGTCTTTGGCATGATGAGCAAACGCTTTATCCACTAGGCTACCCTGTGATAACATAGTAATCATAAGCTTCTACTGTCCACTGAACATAGATCGTGGTGAAGTACCTGGGTTTGAAGGACACTCGGAAATTCATCTCACATCTATTGTGGATCTGCAAACTGGCTAGAAAATCAGTTAAACATAGGTCTGGTCTATCATGAAAGTGTTATTCAATTCCCTGAACTAAATGTTCAGCTGTTAAAGAGCCATGTCTGTATTTCGCAAGTCCCTACTGTTACAATCTACCCATCAGCTAACAGCCACTGCAACAGGGCAACCTTCCATCGGTATTCCTGCACCATCACATACTGCTAGTACACAGCTGCCATATTGTTTCTGATATGACTAGTTCGTATTACAACTTGAACAAGTAATTCCTGATAAAACTCACGAATATCATTCAGTGATTTCAAAACATGTCATGTACATAAAAGCAAAGAAAAATTATGCCAGTATGTATATGTATGCCTAAAAACTACAGCAATATTTGCATGATTCTCCACGCCCTTCGTGCCTTTTTGTCTTCTATCAATTGTTGTACAGACTTTAATCTCAAAAGCCTCTGATTGGGGCGAATCGGGATTCAAACCCACAATTATAGGTTTCTGGTGTGCCCAAGGGACGCAACTCTGCACAGCGAATCGCGGCACATTAGACGACTGGGCAACCCGTGCCCCCGGAGAAGACATGAACAGTATTTGAGCAAACAATAACAATTCATTGAACATGTCATTTGTCTCGCAATTTGTGAAATGCGTAACAAGTTTTGATCGTTAACAGACCAAACTGAACCCAGTTGCAAATCTGGTTGCCCATGAATATTAATATATGCCCAAATATGGGCATTGTTGACATTTCTATGCTCGAATGTGAGAACATGACATCGCTAACACTTAAGATTTTTTTTCAGAATTTCTTCACCTTATGGTAATTTAATTCCACAGAGTTTTCACTGATGGCACAGTGATTTTCACCATGTACAACACATGTGTGACATACGGATTTAGTATCTTATTTCCTGCATCTTTATCTTGTAGGTAATAATACCATTTATTACCCACAGAGTTAGAAATAAACAAGTTCTTAAACATCATACGTGTGCTAGTGCAAATATCCCTTCTCGTGTACCAGTGTATTGTTTCAGTATTGTTGACATCATTCGAATCTTATTGTGACATAGGGTCAGAATGACGTCACACTAGAAATGACGTCATAGCTGATGACTGTTGACAAATTGTGTGTTTTTTTCAGGACAGCAGTGGTGATTGCTGCATGTTTCTAAAGGGGAGCTCAAAAGGATTAAGAAATAATGGGTAATGGCCATGACAAGTGAGTGAGTGAGTTGGGTTTAACGCCACTTTTAACATTATTCCAGTTATATCAGCTTAATGTGGGAGGAAAGCCCAAAGTGATGCAGGTCTCGGACGTTTACCACTTTTGTGAAACCCACAAGCACGGGTAAGGTGCTGACAAACCTAGAAACATAATGGGGGCGAACTGGGATTCGAACCCACAATCATAGGTTCCTGGCCTGCCAAAGGGACGCAACTCTCCACAACGAATCGCTGTGATTTAGACAACTGGGCCACTCGTGCCCCCCTTGACCACAAGGGGTAATGAATGACATCATCCTCATACTATGCTTAGTACCTCAGTACCAGTTAATTACATAAGGAATTTATGTATGTTTAACATAGACATAACTAATATAAAATGATCACAACTGCTTATGTTGCACTATGGAGAACTCCATGTACATTTGTTCTGGCGACAAGTCAATGACCACTTGAAGTGCATGCTGGGAATGCAGGATGACATGCTGCAGCTCCCTGAACATCTCGGGTTACAATGTTGATGATATAACAGAAGCTGACAGAGATTGTCTTGCCTCTTATTTACATAATCTTTTCACACACATTGATGTTCCTTGCGCTCAAAATCACAATACACCATTTCCACTATTATGCCCAGGGACATGTGCGTAGGTTAAAGGAAGCTGGGTGGGTTCCCACGTACTTCCCGACTGAATTGAGTTGTCTATGCTGCGATCATCACCCATGGCTATATATGGTCCGAAAAACTGAACAGGTATAGATATCGGATGGAACAGTCCCATTCCTGCCGCCGACGACTTGGACTGTCGGAAGCACTCTGGGATACTAGTTGGGTGGATAGATATAGGGAAATAGTGTGTTCCGGCTGGATGCAGAACAAACCCAGGGAGTGGAACGTTTGATGAAGACTGTACATTCAGTCCTTGGTCAGGTGGACTGTTGCTAGAGTCACTTCTAACGGCAGACACATCACCATGGTAGGAGCTTGTACCATTGGAGGTATTTCCGGAACTCAGTTCGCTAGAGCTGGGGTAGGGGGAAATACGTGATCCCTGGCTTCGGGTTTTACCCTTGGAGATCTTCCTCCTCTGCAGCTTGCCTGCATCTTCCCTGGAGCTGCTGCAGGAGCTGCTTGTGTCACTCGGATGATTCACGTTCTTCTCCTGGGAGAATCTTTGCGTAATGTTGTGTTTGAACTTATAGATGCTGCCTTGTCCTCCCCCTCCGCTACCTGAGCTACCCCTCTCGGAGTCTGGCCGTAAGAATTCTGTGAAGGAAGTGCCATCACTGGAATTTGTGGAGTAGTGCCCATCTGCTCGGGAGTATGGCTTAGCTAAGGATGACAGACTGATATGGGAACAGGTGTCGGACCGGCTGTTTCGGAGTCCATCACTTAAATCCATCATTCGCTCACTGTTGGTGAGGAGATTACGTAACTGTAGATCATTGTGGCTGGACTGACCAGATGTCTGCTGGTTGAAGAGACTCTCAGCGAAGTTACTGGGAATGTCAGAAGTCTTAATCTCAGGTTTTTCATCTGCTGGAATTCTTGATACTATGGAAATAAAAGTTATTGTCAAAATAAAAACAAACCCAAAAATATCAAGAAGTATGCATTACAAACCTATAGTGACATGTCAATAGAGCACGATCGTCAATGATGATTTTGACAATCATTTATAAGTCTATATAAAATCACAATATACAAGAAACAATGGATAAAGATAATTGAGGTGAAACTGGGATTTGAAACAAAGATTAACAGATCCTGGCATGAGTAAGGTCCACAAAATCTACAGCAAAATCAAACATGCATTCCGCTTTGCACGGCCAAATACTTGCATCCCACTGTACTAAAAGTGCAAATTTTATGCATCAAACCCCAATTTTCATGTGAATTGGATGCATTATTTTATCGGGTAATACCCTGCAACTGTGAACAGTGACTTCAGGGTCAAAGGACAGCCGATGGTTGTCCAAAGGCGCCATTGGTAAATGTTGTACCTGATGCAAGAAGCTTCTCCCCTGCAGACGTCAGGTGACCCATTACCCGGTCACAGAAGCTGTCACTTGCACACATCCCTTCGCCCTCCACGAGGTAGCGCATCACCTCGTCTTTACATTCCCGATAGCCCAGTGACAACTGCGACACACAGCAGTGGCTCAGGGTTTGAGACTGGTCCGGAAGTCCTTTGGAACTCTCTGAAATACGTTTTGAACATTCATAAAGATGATGGTATAACTGGGCCCAATTTAATTTCTCAGGCAGACGTTCTATGCAATAGACCACTTAGGCCCTCATTTGGTATTGGTTACAAGCATAGAAAATAAATCTTTGTCATACGATTTCGCACAAGTCTAGGATCCGGAATGAAGTCGGAATAATCATTTGTACAGAAAGAAAAGAGAATTAGTAAAGTTTAGGTTGGACTTGAACACTTCTGTACATTGTATCCAGGGTAGCATGTCTGAACTTACCTGCTTTCTCAACCTTCTCTGTGAGTGTATTGATCAGTGTAATTGCCATTTCAATTATCTCAGTCTTCTCTATACGACCTTGACCCTGGAATGAAGATTCACAAAAATACTTTTAAAACAGAAAAAAACACTTTTTTTTAAATCTCAGATGTCTGAACAAACCTCACTGTAGAACAAAATATTTGACTTGAATCCATTACACTAACCATATACAATTTGTATGACAACTGCCATGGTTAAGACTCATGTAAGGCAAGGGAGGTGACTGTGTGTTGACAATCTTCACGTGTAGGAGAGGGTTGCACTTAGATGTTAATTTGGGATGACAGAATATTAACAGTATATTTAATAAATTTGTTAGAAACTGAGCTGGAATCATGGGACAAGAATGGGTTTTTTCAAAAACCTATGGCGATATGTTCCAAACTTTAAGTACAGGACTTTCTAAAGAAAGTAGCTTGAACAATCGGCCGGTGACCCACGCCATCAATGTCATGTAGATGTACTCACTTGTTTCATATAACTTGCAGGAATGAGCCTGCTGAGATCGGCCAAACAGTTGTTCATCCGATCTCGCCGACGTTTCTCTATGATACGGTGCGACATTGGGTCCTGCAATAAACGGTAACACATCCAATAGTAAAATGTCTGCCTTCAATGTATAATGTTTAACTTTCTCAACACACTCGGCAATGTCAGAAACAACATAAAGACAATATCAGAAAGGTTTAAAAGGAGTGAGTTGGGATTTACACAATTCTGCAAAAGCATCCCCATTCCCCCGCAAACATTAATACAAACTCTCTTTTTTTTCTTCATTTTTTTTTTATCTCTTGCATTTAGGCAAATACATAAGCATAGTGTCTGATATGAATTCATGTTCAGATGTAAACTTAATTTATGCAGTCGTAATACCAAAACACCTTTAAAAGTGAGAATATTTCAAATTTTATTTTATTGGTGGATTCATATTTCGTGTGTTTGAAACGTATATTTATTGATTGGACATCATTAGAGTGCAAAATGAGTGTTCTGGTTGATAAAACCCCCGCAAATTCTGTGATTTTTCTGGCATACATCCCATTCATTCTAAATTTACATATAGCCTCAACTTCCATGTATCTTTTAGCTTGACATTGATCTCATCTTTACATATGTCTGATACCACTGGCACCTACTGAAAACTAACACCCTGTATGTTACTGCATTTTACTCCACATCGTTGTCAGTGAGAAAAGATTATTGTATATGGAAATATATACACCCACGCTCAACATTATTCCTGGTGCTCAGGTAAAGAAAAATGTTTTTGACATCTTGTGGACATATTTGTTTACAAACTGCATTTTTCAAAATATTCTGGGTACAACAGATCCTTCCCCATAATATGATCAGTTTTGGTTCTAGTGTTTGTTTGATTGTTGTTTAATATCTTGCTCAGCAATATTCCAGCCATTTGACGACTGCCTCTTACGACCAGCATAGTTTGCAGAGGATCAATTCTAACCTGGAATCCTCATGGGGGCAGTCATGTTGTTTGTTTGTTTGTTGTTTAACGCCGCACTCAGCAATTATAAATAATCGAGTCTGGACCAGACAATCCAGTGATTGATATCATGAGCATCAATCCACGCAATTGGGATAAGATGAAAAGCATCAACCAAGTCAGCGAGTCTGACTACCCGATGCTGTTAGTCGCCTCTTACGACAAGCATAGTCGTCTTTTACGGCAAGCATGGGTTGCTGAAGACCAATTCTACCCCGGATCTGCACAGGTCGGGGACAGTCATGTGTGGAGCCTCAAGAGGCAATGCACACTATCTAGATTAGGTATCTGCCTGATCCCAGGTAATCTGGGTGAGTCACTGTGTACACATAGGAACAGGGCACAGCATCCAGCATTCCCGTGAGTACCAGATCTTGTCACGTAAATCTCGGATTGAGTCATTCAGTATTCGTACGACATGTTTCTAGAAATTGGCAGACACGTAAAGGTCCTGTTTGTCATGAATGGTGGGTGCGTAGGTATGTCAAAGTGGCCTGTCAAATGTCAACAGTCCATACTGCAATGGTATTTGGATAGCAGGGGGGAGTGAATGAATGTTGTTTTATGTCACCGAGGTGAGGTGAGGTGAGGTGAGGTGAGGTGAGGTGAGGTGAGGTGAGGTGAGGTGAGGTAGTGCTTGCACACTGAGATACCATGCCACAGTTTAACATGGATACCCCACTCAGATACCTCTTACTGACTCTGAGCCAGCCAGTCCTGAATCTCTCCCCTTAATGCTAAATGCCAGACAGGGTAACAAAATGTACCCTCTCTTAACGTCTTTTGGTATGACGCAGCTTGGGATTGAACCAATGGCCTTCCCCTCTCCGTGCAAAGGTTCTATCCACTGCACCACAGAGGCGGGCAGCAACACCAGTGAGCAGCTTATTGGCCTTCACCGCCATGATGAAACCCAAGAGTATGGCGCTGATGGTCTTAGTATCATAATTAGGCAGGGTTAAGGGACACAACTCTGCACAGCAGACTGCACATGGCCTACGTGTATCGCTGACATGTGCAATGAACACTTAAAATCTTACCCGTGGGGTCTTATTTCTGTGGATTGTCTTAGTCTCAAAATCGTCACCACAGATGTTGAAATTCAGATGTCTGAAACAGAAACAAATCGCCACAAGCATTGCGGTTCACTTTGCTTTTTGTACCACATGGATAAAAAACCTTAAGTTATTTTTTTCTCATTCAAATAAACATTTAATGTTTACAAAGTCAAAACAGGAATTCACTAGTTCAAAAATAATTGTATCCTGGTAAAAAAGAAAATCACTATGATTACTATTAAAGTAAACTAAAATGACATTACAAACTTTCTTTGAACATGGAGATTTAGAGTAGTGTCCCTTTAATAGACTTGTCATGATGTCATCTTTCTAAAACTTTCCATTCTATTGAAATACGACACTGTGTATTCTACAACTCTACAGAACAACCCATCCTCGATAATCCAGGGTATAATACCTGCATTCTGTTATAATAAATACCCTGGCCCCATTCGCCACCAAAGATTTGTTTCTGAAGTGTATTTATCATAAGAAGAGATAACAAACACTGGATAATTGAGGATGTTCTCATCTCTACATAAAAGCAGGATCAGTAGACAGCTCTAATATAAGATCACAACTGACAGCTTATCAACATTAACCCAGCAAATACTCAACAACGTTCTTGTTGGGTGCAAAGTTTGTCTCAACTTGCACAATGTCAATAAACTTCCAAATAAAAAGCTCCCTTTGGACAAGTCAACAGCTGCATTCCAGGTGGCAATATAACGCTGTATAAAACAGCAGCTTCCTCATAGCGGGCCATGTCACGGGTCTGTCAATGAAGTGCAAGCACATGCAATCTCCAGCGGCTCAATGGGACACAGAAAACAGCTGAAGCTGAGAGTAAGATCAGTTGGATTAAATAAATCCGCAAAATAATCATAACCAAGGAGCTTAAACATTGTTCCCTTCTGTAACCATTCTTGCTTATCATGGCTAGTTCAATGTAATAGTCTACAATAACAAACTTTATCATAAAACCAAATCCACGAACTATAGTTTTCAAATGTCAAGAACAGTACCAATGCACAGAGGTACATTCAACTTTACAAGAAGGGTACAGGACAGAGGTACATTCAACTGTACAAGACGGGTACAGGGCAGAGGTACATTCAACTGTACAAGAAGGGTACAGAACAGAGGTACATTCAACTGTACAAGAAGGGTACAGAACAGAGGAACATTCAACTGTACAAGACGGGTACAGGGCAGAGGTACATTCAACTGTACAAGAAGGGTACAGGGCAGAGGTACATTCAACTGTACAAGACAGGTACAGGGCAGAGCTACATTCAACTGTACAAGAAGGGTACAGGACAGAGGTACATTCAACTGTACAAGAAGGGTACAGGGCAGAGGTACATTCAACTGTACAAGAAGGGTACAGGGCAGAGGTACATTCAACTGTACAAGAAGGGTACAGAACAGAGGAACATTCAACTGTACAAGACGGGTACAGGGCAGAGGTACTTTCAACTGTACAAGAAGGGTACAGGGCAGAGGTACATTCAACTGTACAAGACAGGTACAGGGCAGAGCTACATTCAACTGTACAAGAAGGGTACAGGACAGAGGTACATTCAACTGTACAAGAAGGGTACAGGGCAGAGGTACATTCAACTGTACAAGAAGGGTACAGGGCAGAGGTACATTCAACTGTACAAGAAGGGTACAGGGCAGAGGTACATTCAACTGTACAAGATGGGTACAGGGCAGAGGTACATTCAACTGTACAAGACAGGTACAGGGCAGAGCTACATTCAACTGTACAAGAAGGGTACAGGGCAGAGCTACATTCAACTGTAGAAGAAGGGTACAGGGCAGAGGTACATTCAACTGTACAAGACAGGTACATTCAACTGTACAAGAAGGGTACAGGGCAGAGGTACATTCAACTGTACAAGAAGGGTACAGGGCAGAGGTACATTCAACTGTACAAGGGTACAGGGCAGAGGTACTTTCAACTGTACAAGAAGGGTACAGGGCAGAGGTACATTCAACTGTACAAGAAGGGTACAGGGCAGAGGTACATTCAACTGTACAAGAAGGGTACAGGGCAGAGGTACATTCAACTGTACAAGAAGGGTACAGGGCAGAGGTACATTCAACTGTACAAGAAGGGTACAGGGCAGAGGTACATTCAACTGTACAAGAAGGGTACAGGGCAGAGGTACTTTCAACTGTACAAGAAGGGTACAGGGCAGAGGTACATTCAACTGTACAAGAAGGGTACAGGGCAGAGGTACATTCAACTGTACAAGAAGGGTACAGGGCAGAGGTACATTCAACTGTAGAAGACGGGTACAGGGCAGAGGTACATTCAACTGTACAAGACGGATACAGGGCAGAGGTACATTCAACTGTACAAGAAGGGTACAGGACAGAGGTACATTCAACTGTACAAGAAGGGTACAGGGCAGAGGTACATTCAACTGTACAAGACGGGTACAGGGCAGAGGTACTTTCAACTGTACAAGAAGGGTACAGGGCAGAGGTACTTTCAACTGTACAAGAAGGGTACAGGACAGAGGTACATTCAACTGTACAAGACGGGTACAGGGCAGAGGTACATTCAACTGTACAAGAAGGGTACAGGGCAGAGGTACATTCAACTGTACAAGACAGGTACGGGACAGAGGAACATTCAACTGTACAAGAAGGGTACAGGGCAGAGGTACATTCAACTGTACAAGACGGGTACAGGGCAGAGGTACTTTCAACTGTACAAGAAGGGTACAGGGCAGAGGTACTTTCAACTGTACAAGAAGGGTACAGGGCAGAGGTACTTTCAACTGTACAAGAAGGGTACAGGGCAGAGGTACATTCAACTGTACAAGACGGGTACAGGGCAGAGGTACATTCAACTGTACAAGAAGGGTACAGGGCAGAGGTACATTCAACTGTACAAGACAGGTACAAGACAGAGGAACATTCAACTGTACAAGAAGGGTACAGGACAGATTATTAGGGTACAGATATAAGATCGAGAAGCAAATGAACCAAGTGAGTGAGTAGGTAAACAAGGTGACAGTTGACACAGCAGTCAGAAATAAGGGATAAGGATCACAGTGGCCTGGCTGGGTGAACATCACAAGAAATTGACACCTGGAGCAGGATCGACTCCTTTCTTAATTCAATAGAGCATTTGAGGTAGAAATTACAGAGTGAAAAATATATACTGTCAGTTGATTTGAAAGTATTCTGCATACCATATTTGCTGTATTAAGCATCTCGCTCCTACTTCTAGACCAATCTCTTAGTAATGTATATAAGCGCCTGGTACTAAGCCCAAAAACTGACATGACAATCCGTTTTTTTCTTGTGCATATTACAGATCATGTCACAGCAAACACAGCAGTGTCAAAAAGGTATCCAACTGCTTTGTAACTATTATACAAAAAATTAAGTTTGAACTAATTTTGTTCTCTATCGCTCAATTTCTGATAAATTGAACTTGCGATGGTTCTCATAAGAATTAAAAAAGCACCTACCCCTTTGTTATTTTTCTTGGCACCTGTGGCACTTATTACAGCAAGTATGGTAGTTCCCAATCATAATATTAAATGTTCTATTGGCTGAGAAAACCCTCAAATTATATGAAAGTAAATCTCAAAAAAATCATATCTCGGTACTCGCAATCTCATTAAAATCAAGGCCCTGTTCCACAAAGCAATCTTAGTGGTAAAAAGAATGTAACTCCTATACTTTAACATAAACCTATAACAGTCAAAGTGATAAGTGCTTTGTGGTACTGGGCCCTGATCTTAGTGCTTACTATTGCTACACAAGACCTGAGAACATCTTTTACAGGTCACGTCAGAAACAATTTTAATAACTTCTGAAAATAGCAACAAATGATTAAAATTTACTTTTTCTTATGACTGGAAAAAAAAAATTGCATTGACTTATTCATAAATTACAGATTTTCACTGCATACAACAGTTTATTTGACACTAATATTAAGTTCTATACGATAGACCCTTACAGTGAAACAAGGCTCGGGAGCAATGAAGTCAAAGGCACCCCAAAAACAAGGGCTCTTACATTCCATAGAAAAATACCCCTGGAAATAAGTCTTTAACCAATTTGATATACCCCATGAAAAAAAGGAAGGCAAATTCACAGTGTACTGGCCACTGATATACCACAGACATGTTCAGCTGCCGTGAATTGCAACCTAGAGTTACCTCCCTTTATCTACAACTCTCATAGAGAACACTGCAACTTCTGGGTCATTTTTGAGTTTTTGAGCCAATATTCAGCTTAGTTTTAGGGATCAAACAATTTGGTGCAGCTGTTCCCAGGGGCAAATTTTGAAAGGAGAACGTAACAGCCCTTGATTTTGGGGAGGTATAGCCAGTCAGGTTTCTGAATTCTCTCTCACCTGCTCTCATCATCGTGAATCATCCCCTTCTCTTGGGATGCATCTGTTTTCCCAGACCTGAAAACGAAATAACAGGGTTAAAAATATATATATATATACAGGAATTTAGCTTGGTCCAAATACTTGCGAGTCCCTGGAAGTATCTACCTTTACGGTTTACCATTAATGCAAAACACAAGATGCCGCAGTTTAACATGCATACCCCATTCAGATACATTATAAGGACTCTGATGCTAAGCATCAGGGTTACTGCAAGTACCATCTCTTAAGAGGACTCGAGGTAATTGTTCAAGCAAATTAGTATTTACGCACAAGTTATCATTCACAATGCTTATTGATAATTTTCTTTGGGTATTCAATATGTGTGACCAACCATGGCATAAGGGACCTTATGGGTAACAAAATCACATTCTGACTTTTCATTATATTATAAAACTACAGTATCTTCAGAACACAAAAATACAATTCGCAAGCTTCAATTCATATTCATTACAGAGATACATGACGTCAAACATTTGGACGCTTCCTACTTATAACTGTTAACAGTTAATGTAAATGTTAATGTAACAATTGCTGTTTTTAGACATAATGTCTGATGAATTGAAAGTAGATATGAAAGCTGAAAGGATTTGAAATAATGTTTTTTTTACATTACAAACTAATGAGAGAAAAATAAGATATGTTTGTAGTCAGCAGACATGACGATCTTCACTGAAGTAAGTTGACAGCAAATGTCTTATGACGTCATAGCACAATTGTATCCTAGCACCCATTAGGTCCGTGGGTCACATCTTTTAACTCTCTTGGGTCCAGTCTTTTGGTTTTGTAAACCAAGGAATAGATTATTAAAAAGTAATTTGATTTCTATTCTGTTTCAGGTAAAAACAGTGTTAAAAACACACATTTCTATCCGATTTTTATGCCAGCGGTACCCTCTGTCAGAAAGTTAATCAGTCAACCAACCACTCCTTAAATCAGTACAGGGATTTATCTAGACCTGCTCAGAAGCCGACATTCGACCAAAGCCTGCAGCAAATATCAGTAAAATTCCCAATTAGGAATGTTGGTTGGTTGGTTTGTTGTTTAACGTCACACACAGCAATATTCCAGCTATATGATGACAGTCTGTAAATAATCGAGTCTGGACCAGACAATCCAGTGATTGATATCATGAGTATCGATCCACGCAATTGGGATCGATGACATGCATCAACCAAGTCAGCGAGCCTGACCACCCGATCCTGTTAGTCGCCTCCTACGACAAGCATAGTCGCCTTTTATGGCAAGCATGGGTTGCTGAAGACCTGTTCTACCCCGGGTCTTCAAGGTCCCAATTAGGAATGAAAGAAATTCCTAATTTACATTAATTAATATTAAGAAATATGTGGCATTGTGGAGTTGACTTGTATTTCACTAAAGACAGGACAATAAAGGGGAAGAGGAATTTTTGTATTAAATGCAACGTCAAAATACTAAATAATTATTAATTTCAACTTTCACGAAATCCCAATGTTGCACAAAATAATTGTTTTTTCCCCTGTTTGTCTGCCAAGGGCACTTGGTCAGAAATCTCTGATAAATCTCTGCAGTACCCTTGAGTGAGCAAATGAATGCTGTCTCACACCAGCAATAGTGAGACAGGCAGATATTTTATTCAGTACTTAAGGTCACACTGTCCATTGTACGGCTGACATGTCAGTTTCCTTTGTTTAGTCATGTGATATACATGATGTACAAAAACTCTCTGACAGAGAATATATGTTTCAACAACATGGCTAGTGATCGTATAACAGCAGAGTTGTTGGATTATAAGTCTGATCATTAACATCTTGTTTTTGTGCATATTGTAAAACTTTATACATTTCTCAAAGATGTTCATACTTATAACATACTAATAGATCATGAAATTCATCCTCAGTCTCTCTTAATTGGCAGTTTTTACAGACACACATCTCAACTTCTCTTTTTTCGCATCTACGTCTAAAATATATATTGAAATTGTTCAATGATTAATGACACTCTGGATTTACACAAAGCCCTAACGAGCATATTTTCCAACCTTAAAAAAAGCACTTAAAGTAAGATGAAGTACTTTTCAATAGCTTCATTATATTTTGCACTCAATATAACAAGACTGACCCAATTTTGTCGTCAAATATAGCACAAGCTATAGAAAAGGAAGCAAGTATATTTTGCTCGAAAATATTATAGACAGGTATAATTTCATGCTTGTGATGCTAATTGTTTGCACGCAACTGACCATGATGGTTTAGATGATAGCATCAAGCCTAAATATTTTTAAAAATTAACACTTTTAAGGGGATATATTACTATATGTCCATTTTCATTGTTGGCAATGATACCGCCATATCTAACAACAATTACACTTGTTTTAGACAAATTATAATTTCCAATCCCTACCTGTTACAAAAAGAATGTAATACAATGTACAATCAATTGTGTCTGTAGACCATTAACAGAGTATGAAAACATTACAATATCATCAGCAACTAGAAGTAACATTAAATCTCTAATATCTTGTGTGACAAACACACCATAATAACATTCATGGAGAAAATAAACAGAAACAAATAAAGAAAATAAACAAATAAATAGTGAAGCAATGTCATGCCAACCTCAAGTTGGCAAGTCTCGACTAAGAAAACCAGTGGTTGACAGCATGAGCAACAATTCATTCCGTTTGGGCACGGTGACACACCATCAGCCAGTTCACAAATCTTAACCCCCAGAATCCTTATTTAAGTCAGCTCTTACAACAAGCATTGGTTGATGGGGACATATTCTGCCCCATACGTTCTTAGGGGTGAGTGAGTGAGTGAGTCGGGTTTAACGCCGCCTTGAACATTCTTCCAGTTACATCATGGTGTGTCAGCTTGATGTGGAAGGAATGCCCGAAAGTGAGGCAGGTCTTAAACATCAACCTCTTTGGTGAAACTCACAAGCACGGATATGGTGCTGATAAACCTAGAAACAATCGGGGCAAACTGGGATTCCAACCCACAATCATAGGTTTCTGGAATGCCCAAGGGACGCAACTGTGAACAGCAAACTGCTGTGCTTTAGACGACTGGGCCACTCGTGACCCCAAATTTCTTAGGGGAATGTAAAGAGAGGATTGGTTGACCTTAAGTGTCATTCCACAAATCGATCTTAGCGGTACGACTAATGTAAGTTTTTGCTAAAGTATGGGTCGGTTGGTTTGTTGTTTAATGCTGCACTCAGCAATATTCCAGCTATATGACTGCGGTCTATGAATAATCGAGTCTGGACCAGACAATCCAGTGACTGATATCATGAGCATCTCTCCACACAATTGGGATGGATAACAGGCATCAACCATGTAAGCGAGCCTGACCATTCAATCCCTGATCGTCTCATCGTTAAGATCGCTTTGTGGAATGGCACCCTATTTGATTGTGTATCACTATAGAGTGGATGAGTATTGAAGCCATCAATCATTGGTTTTCCTGAACTGGACTTAATGATGTTCCTGCTGACGGCAGCATAAAACACTCACTCACTCATTCACTGATAGCTGATTATGAAAAAACATAAAACATAAAATAACTCTCACTTCAACTTAAATACATGGACTAAAATCTAATAATTATTTCATTGTGACTTTATGATCAGCTTAACATTTAATCAGCAATATGTATCAAGTATGCCACATGACTACAATCAGGACAAGTGGGTTTGTGTGAAGGATAAAATATGTTGACATTCAGAAACGTGACATGTATAAGATAAGACAACAGATTTACTAAAAATATTGATGAGTCAAGTACCTGCCTCAAATTATATAAAAAAATTCACCCATGTATCTATCATACAATGATACACAGGTTAAAATAATAAAATTGGAAAGATTTTTATGTACAGCTATACATTCATCAGCATCAATGATAGTGTTTATTCCTACATGGGTAAAAGTATTTTCTGCAACATCTCACACTCTCATACTCAGAACAGTAATTTTGGTGGAAAAAAAGTTAAGTGTTTCTAGTAATAAAACAAACACATATAACATTAACTCCCTTTTCTACAGAATACAGATTTGAATTATATTGAGGAAAACATCCGAAACAAACTACTCTGAATCCACATGTCACACACACCTAGTAGAGCGATACAATAGAAATGAACTGTAAAATTAGAATTCGTTTCACAACAATCTCTTCAGAGCAGCTAAAATAAATAAAATCACACGAGAAATTATTTTTATTAATTTACTCTAAAGTTTAGATTAATTCGCCAAAACAATATGTCACCAAATGTGTCTTAAATCGGAATTAAACGATAAAATCTGGATCGTTCTAGTTAAATTTATTGCGCTATGTACGGTATTCCTTGGTTGAGCGCAGTCACGTTTTGTGCACGTTGTCGACTAGAGATACCAACAGCCCATAAACAACATTCAATGGCTACACGAAACACGCCTGCCTCAAAACCCAACGTTCTGCAATAACTGATAATCGAAATGAAATATCACAAAATACAAATCACCTACCATCAATGCCTTCACTCAAAAATTAGTATAGAAAAGTATGCATACGACATTAAGTATATGCAGCTCGCGCCAACTCAAGCTGCTCGCTCAAAACGTAAACAGTATACATTCTTACCGAATCCCGCCTTCGTCCAGTCCTCGTCCGTTATTCCCTTCTAAATCGTTGGAATCCATATAGGGGTTTATCACAAAATGTGAATGTATACTAAGACAGAGCTAAAACACCATCTCTTCTCGCGTACACGTTGTTTCGTCTGCTCACATTTTGACAGAAATTGCCTCTAGAAAATTCACGTGTACGGCCATGCTGTGACGTCATAGTCACGCTTCTCCGACACGTGCTTCGCGGTGTACAACCTTATCCATAAAACGGGCCGTCAGGTAGCAAGTAGTGTTATATACTCTTGATAGATAGATGTTGATAGGTGTTAGAGAGAGCTGTTGTTACATTACACAGTGTCTGCAGATGAAAATTGACGGATAATTGAATAAAAATTATATTTAGGTTCATATATTTTTATGCTTCAAGAGGAAAGCAACGTGGTTGCAAACAGCACATGCATGTCAAATGTGGTTAAGATAATTTTTACATAAAATATAACTGAACAACTACATAGTATAAAAATACAGGGATATGTCCGATAGAGTTGGCATAAATCGATCATGTGACGGGTTGCTTATATTTATAGTTTATCGATCTAATCAACATATGTGTGGCAACTATTGATATAGCCTGTGTTGAATTAAACATGCATATCTACGAAAGGTATTCTTTTCATTTAGAAACTATCAATTTCTGAAATGGGAAATTTGCCAAGAGACGTACGTTATGGCACGTCACAGCTCTTGATACTGGAGTCTCGATAGGAGATCGATACAACATGTATGCACCACACGATCGGGATACTTAGTAAGGGCGTATATCGTAAACCATTAAACACATGATGCTTGTCGGAAAACGAACACACACGCGCATGTGTGACCGTCATATAGTACTTAGATAAAGCAAGTAAAATTCTTCCTTGCCAAAAAAACAACCCATACAAATCAGCAGCGAAGCACGTAGGCGTTCTCAGTCGAGAAAGTGGGCCGGCCGTCTTACCGTTTTAACTCTGTTATAAGCGCGAGTGTTTTGTGCTCACGTGGTCATTTGTATTCTTATATTATCGATGTAGAAACAGTTCGATTATTTAAAAGCACAAGAATATTATATTCTTTCTTTTTTTAAATCTCTCTCGATGATGCAGCTCGGGCAAAGTGGTGAAATTATTATAATCCGTGTCAACAGCAGATACACGTGACATTGTTCATGTTGAAATTCCCTTTATAGAAATATTTGAACTCTCTATTTTCAGAATCATATATATGATATATAAAAATGGAGACGAATTGTTTCATGAAAACTTTGGCCGGACTCAGTAGATTGTGTCTGAGTGAGGTATCCATGTTAAACTGATGCTCAATATCTCTGGGCCTTCACTATGAACCTGGCGTTAGTGCGAACTCTAGCCTTGCTCCAAGGCTGTACTGTATGATAAATCCATGGGTTAAAAGTATCTTATAAACAGAAACCCTATCAATTCTAAAACTCCCAATAGATGTGTATACCCTATTAGCACACATGAGTCCCAAAGAGAGGCAGGTCAGCCAAAGATGCTGAGGCAGACAGCGACAGCTTACACACTTAAAGGAACAACAAATTCACAGTCGGATGATGATGAGTATGGTTTAACGCCGCTTTTAGCAATATTCCAGCAATATCACGGCGGGGGACACCAGAAATGGGCTTCACACATTGTACCCATGTTGGGAATTGAACCCGGGTGTTCGGCGTGACGAGCGAATGCTTTAACCACTGGGCTACCCGACCGCCCCTTTCACAGTCGGTATCAAAATGGCAAATCTTCAGAGAGTTGAGTTTGTTACATCTCAAAGAGGCGGTCAACAAGTTCTTCATGCATGCTTTAGACACCGGCTGAAAGCCAAGGGTCAGGTTGCCATTCACTGGAAGTGTGTGTTAATTGGCATATCACGTAACCTCTTTCAGTGGCATTTATAGAAGTTGGTGTGATGAAGTAAGACGAGTTCTATGGATCAAGAACTTCCTTTTTACAATTAGTGCGACGTTTCGGTGTAGATCCTAACACCTTTATTAAGCACTTCGGCATATCACCTGCACAGCAGAAATACAACTCCGAACTCGACCAACGTGACGAAAAAACAGTTGCGACCATGCTTCTTTTGGCTATATTCCTGGTTGTTCTGTTAAAGGTTGTTTATTCCACTCTTCACAGATTCGAACCCGTATTGACAGACATAGACCAAAGAATTGATTGATTGATTGAGGGAGTATGGTTTTACACCGTTTTTAAGCAATATTCCAGCAATATCACGGCGGGGGACACCAGAAATGGGCTTCACACATTGTACCCATGTGGGGAATGGAACCCGGGTCTTCGGCGTGACGAGCGAACGCTTTAACCACAAGGCTACCCCACCGCCCTGCAAGAATTGAAAGACTTGATATCCAGCTATCCACTGAAAGAAGAACTAATGCAGTTTCTGGATGCTGTTGGTCATCTGTTAAAGTGACAGTGATTTCATGATGTTGATGACATGGTGAGGATGAAGATGATGAGGAGGAGGAGGGGGATTTATATTAGATATGGATTGTTTACAAAAATGTATACATTGTTATTCTAAACTATTAAACTGACATTAAAAATTCACGATTGTCTGCGTGTATTTTTACATTTATTGTAGGCCTTATTAGGTGTAGGCCAAACGAGGGCAAGTTTATTTTCCAATGGGTGAACTCTTTACCCAAGTTGTAGGAGTGATGGCGATGTGCAGTCAGGTGTAAATTTGTTTTGATAAGGGTGTAGGCGAAATGGGGTGAAGGTCAAATGGGGTGTCGGCCAAATGAGGACAGGCCGATCTTGTGGGTTGTTTACATACTGCACGTGACGCCCGCTCTATATATACCAACAGTGCAACACTGCTACATCCGGGTAGGTCGGGTTGGATGTTTGCTCGCAACTCGTGACGTGAGGTGAAGCTTCAGGCCTCAATATCGACCGACTCGTGCATGAACCACTGGCAAGTGTCAACTGCGAGGAGAGCGGTGGGTAGCCTAGTGGTTAAAGTGTTTGCTTGTCACGCCGATGGCTCCGGTTCGACTCCTCTGTGTTTGTGGAAGTTTCGCTCTTTCCTCATTACTCTACACCCCTGCGCCAAAACCTGAACAAAACCCATATTGTTAATCATTATAATTAATGTTCCATTTTAGTTTTGATCCAAAATATACCTTGTGTAAAGATATTTAGTTTAGTATCCATTCGATTAACGTTTAATATACTTATGTCAGACATTAATCATGGCACCTTTATAATTTCCTTAACACTTTCCCCATATGTCATCATCACGAATAATTCAAGGACAAATACTTAAAGACGGTAAAAGGACCCACCAAACTATTTTCATACATGTACTATTACAATAGGTTTACAGCTTAAGCTGCAAAACCAGATTTTTTTATTTAAAACTATGAGCCTGAATTTTCTTTTAAGAAAAACAATTTGCAACAATGGCATTTTTGAGGCAGGAAATTTCTAAAGCATGATTATATTTTTCAAGAATTGTCAGGGACAATTTTTTTTTTCCAATAAAATACCAGGCAATAATACTAAAGATGTGTGATTGGCAATTTACACAATATCAATTGCTAATATTTATATCTATCGATTGACATGCGTAGGAAGGACAGTTTTACTGATTTAATCAATACAGACGCCGAGACTGGACATGTTTAGCAGGTGGCGTTACGTGCATGGGGCGTCGACCGGCAATCCCTAATGACAAAGGAAGGACATTGCAACAAAGGTTTGTTTTCTGATCTTGACGTTGCATGATAGTGCATTAGACCCCGCTTTTGGCAGAGATTTCTTATATGATTGCGGACCGTGTTTTGTCGTTCTTATTTGATAGACAACCTGTATATGAGCTGAATACAAGGGTCTGTTGCCCCACGTAAGTACATATTCATGGACTCTCAATTTCTATTTTGACTGGAGAGTTCATTTGTAACCTTGCAAAAACGTTTAATCATTGTCAATGCCGTCTGAGCTATGTACTTTTCCTAATGTTGCAAACACATAGGAACAACGCACCGAGTCCTGATATATTTCCAAAACACTAAAGTATGATAGTATACCACTAAAGTATAAACATATGATATCACTTAAGTATGATAGTATACCACTAAAGTATGATAGTGTATCACTAAAGTATGATACTATACCACTAAAGTATGATAGTATGATATCACTAACGTATGATAGTATGATGCCACTTAAGTATGATACTATACCACTAAAGTATGATAGTATGATATCACTTAAGTATAATAGTATGAAACCACTAACGTATGATAACATGATACCACTAAAATGATACTATGATATCAAAGTCTGATAGTATACCACTTAAGTGTAATAGTATGATACCACTTAAGTATGATAGTATGATGCCACTAAAGTATGATAGTATGATATCAAAGTATGATAGTATACCACTAAAATATGACAGTATACCACTAAAGTATGATAGTATATCACTTAAGTATGATAGTATGATATCACTAAAGTATGATAGTATTCCACTTAAGTATGATAGTATACCACTAAAGTATGACAGTATACCACTAAAGTATGATAGTATATCACTTAAGTATGATAGTATGATATCACTAAAGTATGATAGTATGATGCCACCAAAGTATGACAGTATACCACTAAAGTATGATAGTATATCATTTAAGTATGATAGTATGATATCACTAAAGTATGATAGTATGATGCCACTAAAGTATGATGGTATGATATCACTAATGTATGATTGTATAATATCACTAAACTACGACAGTATACCACTAAACTATGATAGTATGATATCACTTAAGTATGATTGTGTAATATCACTAAAGTATAATTGACGACCATAATATATATCATAAACACAAGTTATCACTAAAGTATGACATCACTAAAAAGGATAGTATGATATCATTTTATGGTGGTTGCACCAATAGGAATATTGATGCTTGTATCATTATTTGGGTGAATGAGTGAGTGAGTTAAAATTTAACGTCGCATCGGCATTATTTCAGCCATATAGCGACGATAACAAGTTGATACATACACAAGTGAGTCATGAATACAAAGTTATATTCAAAAATCAAATGTGGGCATAACAAAATTCTTTATACAGTTTAGAACATGGGCTATAGGCCACCAGTTGCCAAAGCTAGGCCACCTCGATGGGGTCCTTGGGGACTTTCT